TTAAAATTGTTCTTCATTTTAATTATTGTATTGTTTTAAAGTGTTTTTTGCACTACAATTAAGATATGTGCTGGATCAGAACTTCTTAAACTTCTTTCTCTCATGACCACTTTCTGCTCGAGAATTTTTTACGTGACCCCAGGTGTATTGATATATAGAATTGGTATAAAAATCAACGTTTCCTGTTATTAATACCACATTTGCAAGACTTGCTAAACTGGCTGATTTGGCCTTTTTATGAAGTACAACTGATGCCATTTTTGCAGAGCGTTCTGCAGATGCTCCACTATTAGGTGGATCTGTAATCCATGTCTTGAAGGGACTCGCTGGCACAAGCCTCCCTCCAGCCTCACACACTCTCTCTCACCTGCATATGCGCAACATGCTGCCATGCACCAAGCACGCCTGCTCTCTCCTCCCTTCTTGGAGTCTCAGAGACAGCCCTCCCCTTGGCTGAGACGCCGACCAATCACAGTGGAGGAGGGCTTTTGGTGGGAGGTATCACCGTCTATTTCCAAAAAGGAAGAGAAGGACAGGTGGAGAGATTTTCAGCCTTATCTGCCAAAGGAATTCCTAAAACCATCAGAAATATATGTTTTCTGATGGTCTTTGGCAACCCCTCTGTAAGCCCCTCACAACCCCCAGCCAGGGGTCCCGACCCCCAGGTTTTGAAATACTGGTTTAGGAGCTGTTCCATAGTGCAATCTGCTGCTGCCTGGGAGTCCGTTGGAGTCTCCTTCTCTGAAGGTTTTTCCAACAGAGGCTGGATGGCCATCTGTCGGGAGGGCTTGGACTGTGTCCTTCTGCTTGGAAGAATGGAGTTCGACTGGATGGTCCTTGGGGTCTCTCTTAACTTTCTTATTCCAAAAGTCTCAAAATCTTTCAGTCCTCAATTTTTAAACATCGCAGAAAGGGAAGTGTGCAAAAAGAATTTTGCATTTCTTTTGTCACTTTCTTTTGTCACTTTTCCTGTCACTTTTATTTCTTTAACAGTTGTATTTCCTAACACCTAATGGCTGCCTCAAGAGACTGCAATATTAGAAATTTGCTGACTGAAAGTGGTTTTGGGAGAGAGTGACAATTCTTTTAGGAGGATAATGCCTTAATTTTTGTCCCATCTCATACTGCGTTCTGCACAGTCATTTTGCTATTCCTCTCCATGGAAATTTACAACAGCTTGGCATGGCTTGCAATCTATGGAGCAGCAGGAAGGAGGCAGCTATAGAAGAATAAAAACAAGTTGTATAATTTGTTCTACTAGACTACATTATATTGAAAGTGGTAAAATCGACAAGAGCTAACCTTTTCACATCCAGCCTGTATGCTTCCTACAGGCAATTTTATTATCACAGAACAGGGTTTGGCAGGCTAGTGTTGGTTTGCGCTCTTGTTTTGTCCTACTTTCTTGTGTGTGAAATGTAAAAAGTGCTTTGGCAAGACTGAAAATAAGCATAAGCCTAATTGTCATTGGAGGGAAGGATAGTAGAGGCAAAGATGAAGTACTTTGGCCACATCATGAGAAGAAAGGAAAGCTTAGAGAAGACAATTATGCTGGGGAAAATGGAAGGAAAAAGGAAGAGGGGCCGACCAAGGGCAAAACGGATGGATGGGATCCTTGAAGTGACTGGCTTGACCACGAAGGTGCTGGGGGTAGTGACAGCAGACAGGGAGCTCTGGTGTGGGCTCATTTCTGACTCTTTGTGAGGTCACAAAGAGTCAGAAATGACTGAACGAATGATCAACAACAACTGTTAACTGTTGCCATGTTAACTGAGATGACCAAGCTTGAGCTGGCTCTCATGGACCAGTCATCAGAGCAATTGTTAAGGCAGCCCTGTGGAGCTCAAAGGGTGACCCAGAGTGGATGCTTGTTTGCTCTCCAGAGTAAGGTATTTGTAGGGAGGCAGGGGTTGGGAAGAGGCATCAAAGAACTTGCTCTGTAGGACACTTTTACAGCATATCTTAAAGCAGAGCTGTAGCCTGAATAACTTGGACCTGGATTACTAAATATGCAGGCAATCCTCAAGTTATAAACATCTGAATTACAAACAACCCATAGTTACAAATTGGGGAGAAAACAGGACATGAAAGATATCTACCTTTCAAAAGGAAAGGAAATCCACTCCCGAAAGAACTATTATCACGGGGAAAAGAGGTCTCTGCTGAAGCTTTATCTCCAATCCTTTTTTCCACAACAAAGCAAATTGTTCAAAATCCACTGATAACAGGGACAGAAAGTGAGTAAAATCTTCTCACCAGGGGCACAGGTGGCAAAGGAAACTCCACAGAGGTGCTACCCCTTCCCTATGCTATTCAAAACCAAGAAAAATTGGTTGGAGTTGTACTTAAAAATGTACATGTTTCGATTTACCGTCCATACAAATTCAACTTAAGAACAAACCTCTATCTTATTTTCTAACCCACAAACTGCCTGTAAATGGGGTTGACTTGTACAGGTAAATCTGGTGGGTTCTGATACAAAGATTTTACCTATTTATTAATGCATCTGTTAGTTACATTTGCATCCTGCCATTGAGCTCAAGGTGCAACACTGGTGTTTCTTTGTCTGTCTGATGTGGTAGTCAGTACACTAGAGTCTCAGTTAACCCATGGCCCCATGGGGATTGGTAGGTGCCAGACAAATGTAGTTTCTGTCTGCTTGAAAGTTTTACTATTAAAATCAGGCCTCGCTGATATGCTAACCCCATGATATACCATACCACAAGCCCTGTATTGACTTGATATTAATATCAAAATACAGCAGTTAAAAGCAAAGAAAAACAAACTCAATGTACAGTAGAGTCTCGCTTATCCAACATAAACAGGCTACCAGAACGTTGGATAATAGAAAATGTTGGATAATAAGGAGGGATTAAGGGAAAGGATATTAAACGTTAAATTGAGTTATCATTTTAAAAATTAAGCGTCAAAACATGTTTTACAACAAATTGATAGAAAAAGCAGTTCAATACACTGTAATATTATGTAGTAATAAATGAATTTGGCACCAAAACATTGCAATGTATTGAAACAGCTATAGGTTCATGGGAGGCAGACTGCATTGGATAATATAGAATGTTGGATGAGCAAAGGTTGGATAAGAAAGAGTACTGACATTGTGTACTGACATTACCACCACAACAGCATGCATTTGCTTGTAGAGGTTTACTGGATTGAGTTTGAAGAGTTTGTTGTTCTATATCAGGCATGGGCCAACTTCGGCCCTCCAGGTGTTTTGAACTTCAACTCCCACAATTCTGGGACTTGACTGTCTTCCATATGTTTCTCCAAGTAGCTGGATTCCATGTAGGCAGGAACTCACCTCTACAAGATACATTGAACTGGAAGAATACATACATTTTGGCTTTATACCTGTCATAATAGGTGAACAAAAGTGCCTTCTCCATTCATAAAGTTGCATTGAAAGGGAGAGAGAACTATATGTCACGGAGCCAGAATGGCTGAAGTGTGCATTAAGGGAAAATATTTTAATTTGAGTGTTGAAATAAGTGCATCATCCATCTTTACTGGCAAGCTCTCTCTTAGTGATTTATACAGACATAAATTGTGCTACGCAAATGGGGGAGTTGTTTGCAGAGTGTGTAAGAAGTGTAGCCGGCTGAGGAAAGCACGTTGTTTCTGTGCATTGCCACTGCACAATGTGTTTTCAACCATGCTCATTGACCATTGATCCATATACATTGCTCTACATTGGTACATAGTACAGGAATTGCTTAACATGACTTTGCCGGCAGATATTCATTGTATGCTGAATCTCAGCTACTCAGTGCTGACAATTAATGAGTTTGTAATCGGTGAGACCCATATTTAATTTGACAACAAAGGAAAGTCAAAATTCTGAATTCCCTGCATTTAGAACACGTTCCATGTTTGTTTTTGTTTGAAAGTGGCAATATTTCACCATGCTGTTTCACACTGAAAGAACTTGATGTCCCTTCCTTCCCAAAACTAAATTTTGTGAAGCCACAGACACACTGTTCTCTGCGACTGAGTTTCCAGCCCTATCCCAGTTTAAGATAATAATTTCTTTATCCCTTATTTTTGTGATATCTTTACCAACTTGGTTTGGAAGCCTGTGAGACACATTTTTAATGGCACAGAGCTACTATATCAAGCAGTAGAGATAATTGTTCACATCACTGGAATTATTTGATTTATGTGACAGCAAGTGTCTTGAAGGCACATGTTCAAGTGGAAGATCTTGCTGGAGTTCATAGAATCATAGAATCAAAGAGTTGGAAGAGACCTCATGGGCCATCCAGTCCAACCCCCTGCCAAGAAGCAGGAATATTGCATTCAAATCACCCCTGACAGATGGCCATCCAGCCTCTGCTTAAAAGCTTCCAAAGAAGGAGCCTCCACCACACTCCGGGGCAGAGAGTTCCACTGCGAAACGGCTCTCACAGTCAGGAAGTTCTTCCTAATGTTCAGATGGAATCTCCTCTCTTGTAGTTTGAAGCCATTGTTCCGCGTCCTAGTCTCCAAGGAAGCAGAAAACAAGCTTGCTTCCTCCTCCCTGTGGCTCCCTCTCACATATTTATATGTGGTGCAGATTGCTGAAGGCTAACCTGGGAGTCTTATGTTGACAAGTTTCGCCTGGGTCTTTGCAACTTCCTTTCATGTCTTGGGGAAAGACAT